AGTGGTAGGTACTTCATCATAATTTATGGAATCTTTTGTTCATTTAGCTCCATACGCGTAGAAGACACCACTCCTAATAGAATTTGGTGTTGCGCCAAATAAATAACGAAATTAAAATTTCACACATTTTGACACATATAAGTTTACACCTTTGCTTGAACTGTAGTTGTAGTCTGTCAACTTAATTTAAACTAAGGTAAAAAAATCAATTTACCTCAAAATTTGCAGTAGATACAAACCTGAGTATCAAGCACCGATTGCAATACAATAATTTTCGGGCCTAATATTAACATCTAGTGATCCTAACAAGGATAAAATATGTCTACTTATAACAATTTATAGGCACAGGTTAATAATTTATATGATGAAGGTAAATGTTATTCTTCCTTATACAATTCGGATACAACTTGTTTTTGGCATTGAAACATTTTTGTACAGTAAAAATTTGTGTTTTCTTAATAATTTAATTATTATTTTAAAACCGTCTTCTTGTTTTTTATATTGATAATAAGCGTAGGTATTTTTTAAACTCAAATACTTTTTACTGACCCAATAAACAGAATAACAATTGAGTTACTGATTTAATTCCTAAATTTATTTTAAAATGGAATCCTAAATACTTGTAATGAAAGGAAGAATCTTTAAGTAAATTAATTAGTTAGGTTGCTTAGAGAGCCATGTTCATTAGAGATATCATCTCTCAAGTATATTTTTTTTTGTACACATACTACACGGTTTCACCGGACTCTTAAAGTTAGAAGCAATTTTTGGGGGTACGAAAATTTATTTTTACCGAATAATTATATCATTTTTAAATTATTAAAAGGCACATTTAAAAGTAAATACAACTAATAGAATAGTGGAGATTTAGAAGAGTGAAGCTAAAGTCATACATTTGACGTTTAATATCCTTCTTTAAAATACTTATATAAAATATTATGACTAAAGATCGAAGTCTAACTAGAAAAAGTCTAAACAACTAGCAAATGTTCTCTTTCTTAGCTGTAAAAATTAAGATCCCCCCTTCTTAACTATTTTATACTTACTAGATTTTCTTTATCGTTTGTAATTGTCTCTCTAGAAAAGTTAAAACTTTCATCCTTTGGTCGAAGTATTCAATAACTCGGACAAGGGATGATATCTGAGAGCTTTAGCTTATAGGATACTCAAGGTACATAAATATTTGCATTTTTAAAATAGGAATTGTCACATCTATCAAAAACAAAGAGTAAAGTAAACATAGGCAGATCAGAAAGTATTGTCGTATAGTCTGTATTTGGTCTTGGATAGTGACAATCATCTGACGGCTGATGCCGTCACAACCTGTAACGTTGGAAATGATGGACAGGATGATCTTTTTGATATCCTCGGAATATGCCGGAGAAAAGTCAAAGGATACAATGTTATGTCGGGTTAGACCAGCAATATAGTTCAAGACTCTTAGTATGATGATCCCGCTGAGGTGTGGATGAGAAGTGACGATTGATATCATCTAAACCAATTGTCATCTTCACATCAGGGCGCTCTTGTTTACCAATACCTAATGTTCTAAGAAACTTCCACATATTGGAAGACGAAGAGGTTTCTATATTATGAAGAATATGACGGCGTTTTGCGTTAAGTATCACCTGGTTGCAGCGATTCCTCGCAGTCTTAAAAAATTTCAATTTCTCTTCATAGCAGTTTTGCAATATCCATTCGTCTAAAACTACTAAGTAAATATAAATTGTATTCAATTTTGAACAAAGCAACAACAAATCAAAACTGGAAGGCTCTTAAAATGTGCATTCGTTCAAAAATGTTCCAAATACAAGAAACTCCCTTTAAAAAAGTTGAACCGACTTCAAGCAATACTAACAAAGAACACTAAAAACCGCTATCGCGATTCCTTTCCAATCCTATCCAATCAATTTGAAAATCCATCTATATATGACGGAGTTATGCCCGAAAATACATAAAAATATATATAAACATCCGAACTGATAATCTCCTCGTTTTGAAGTTAAATACTTATATACGTTAATATTTATATACATAATTAAAGAAAGATATTTTAAAAATAATTTAAAACGTGAATAGTCTAACAGCAACAAAAACTTCCGAACCGTACTTAAGAAGGTATCTATTACCTAGGCTTAGCGTATAAAATATAGTAGAACCTTCGCATGGTTTTTTTTTTCATATTATATTATTTAGGATATCTTTTTTATTCACACGTTGGCCATGCTTATGCATAAAACTTTCTTGTACAACATAGGTACAATAATAGAAAAACACACGAATCATGGGACTGTACACTCATCACGATTCGTCATTACAAAGTTACATTTTATGCAAAGGTTTTATTTGATATACTTTAACACCCTAATATGTACACCTGGCCATGTTCGCAAAATGAATTATTTGATTTGATCTAAAAAATGTGGAAGGAATATGTCGCAAAACATACTTATTAAGAATGTCTGACGTATATAATTATATCAGTTTGTAATTGTTTCAAATTTAATGAAGTATTAAGTCGCGTCTTTTTAATAACTAGAGATTATCGTCACAGGTAGCGTACGTAATATACGCTTGATGTAGCCCTTTAGACGTTTTTTCATTTATTAAGTTTGTTAAGTACACAGTTATTATTCAATGTTTTGTGTTTTTTTCGTTTGGTTATTGAATGCTTACAAAACGTGAAAAATGAAATGGATAGTTACTAACATTTTGATATACATGTATTTATTTATCCCGGGCAACTTTTACCACAGAAAAATTAAAGTTTAATACCCTAGTATTCTTCTTTAAAAGTGTGGTCCATGATCTATGTGCATAATCGGTGTTAATTATTAATAAACCAGGTTAATATAACCGGTTGGATACCTGTAAAGTGTCATATTTGTGGAATATCCAGACAAGTAGCTATAAAAAGCAATTAAGACAATGTTCAAATAGTTAGCAGAAACTTTTAATCATAAACAAACACCTATTACAAAATTTAAAAAAACAGACTATAAAACTTACGTTATTAAAAAATTTCTCCTTAGCCAGTTTCGGTTGATTGTTTTTTAAATTTTCAATAGTTTTAGTAACAGTATAAGTTTTGAGAAAGTCAAAAAAAATGTTTTGTAAGTGTATAATATATGTGAATATTTGAACTACGTTGACTGTTTAGATTTTAAAATGCTACGGTAGCATTCATGAAAAAATGCAAGACTGTATTTAAAAAATAGAGGTATTACATTTTATCAAATAAATTCTATCCAAGGACCAGACTGTCGTTCACTGTACTAAACCCAGAACCACTTTCTTTCTTATTTGGTAGTTGTGGTTAAATAAAAATTCTTCTTCTTACATAATCCAACAAATTGTATCTTATATCAAAATATGACGATTGTAATCAGTAGTACTAATCAGTCTTCATACACTACCTATTCTGACGGTTATACCAGCTCACAGAGTAATAAATAGAAAAATCTATATTGAAAACAATACTAGTTTTTTTATTATTTTTCTAAAAGAAATTAGTTAGTAAGATACAATGTGTTTCAAAGGATTTCTACCAATATCGGGAGCAGTTAATGATCATAAAACTTACACTAAATTGTCTTATATCACATTTATTTCTTCCTAAAGTGATTATTTTGTCATAATAAAATTATGGTAATTTTAAGTTAACAGTGGTTTGAATTGCAATTAAAAAAAACGGCCAGAAGAAAAACCTGCATAGATGCCGTTTTGATGGTTTATAATCGGTAGCCTGTATTACAATCTTGTCACTGTTTTTTTTAAAAGCCTTATAGTTTCATTGAATACTACTTATTTGAACGTATTCTATGTAAAAGTGAGTACCTATCTTTTTCAAGCATTAAAGTATAATGTTTATTCGGTAACTCATAGTGATAAAATTGAAAAATGTTTTTATAACGTTACAGGTCTAAATCTAACTAGTTTATTTAGAATTAATTTATGATTACATTTAATTTCATTGATATTTTTTATTGAATACTTATGCTATAGTACATACAGATACACTAAAGTTTTTACATGGAGCTTGGAGGCGTAAACGGTAGCGCAGCGGCGGCGTTTGATGACAAGATTCCGTCATATTATAGGCGGCACACAGAATCTTTGTACACAACACGCAACGTTAGTATCACTTCTCACGGGACCTTAAGCACTTCACTATAGACACCAGTTTACAACACAAAACAAGATCTTATTTATTTCAAACATTTATCAGGTGACCAATGATTTCGAACACTGTCAACACGCGTGTCATCAGCAAACAGTGGAAAAGTTCATGACTCACTTAGATCAAGTTTTATAAACTGCAAATGCGACGAGAAGTGCATCAGCGAGTGCAATTCGTGTTGTCTGAAAGTCACCAATAAGCCCAATGAAGTAGAGATCCCGCAGGCGAGCGCCAGCACCAACCTAAATAGACTCTGATCATCTAAATTGACTTCAATTAAATAACAACCGAAATTGTTGAAATGCGCCATTACTCCCTCGACGCTAATCTAAGTGCCAATAGTCAGGGCGAATGTTTTATTAATAATATCCAGCAATAACTGTTAATTAATAATTAAGCGATGGCGGCGTCGATCAGCCGCATCAGTGCGCGTGCGTCGCCGGCCGGTGCGCTGCGCATTCGTATCAGCTGCATCCCGTCATCATACTGTTATATTGGGCTCCTGGGCTCCTCTAGTGTTCACGGTTCGTAATATCTTATGTTTTCAACTAAATTGTGCTAAGACACACATTGTGATAACTTGTCATTAGAAGAATTAATGTTATGGATAGAATTAGTTATAGAAGTAGTCGTAACACCAAATGTACTACAAGCTACTAGTGCTTTTAACCGTTTGGAATTCCTAATTTAATATAAAATCCTTTTATATCTGTACGTTTTGTAGGTATTTGATACAAAAGTGATAATATTATATTCCCACGGCTATAAATCATGCCACAGACATATGAGTGGTGTTGATACGGATTTACAATACAATATTATGGACTTTCAAAATGATGATGTGGGTGTTCTACCCTACACAACCATTGATACGAACAAACATCGGCAGTTTGTGGGAATCCCGCATGGTGCTGAGACGACGGCAGCACGCCCGTGGCACCAGCCCGCAGCAGCGCTGTGGCTCGCCGAGGGTGCGAAGGCGCGAGGGGAGAGCGTCGAAGCGCCGAGGGAGTGGCCACACTGCACTGTGATTGGTGTAACAACACACTCGCATCACTGGCGTAAACATCCGCTCCACTTGCACAAATTTATCCCCTCCGACGATGTACTACGGTTGATATTAGCACACACACGGCCGAGCTCAACGCTCTCGGACGCACTACTCATTGGTTCAAAACCTATGTCGACAGACGTATTATGGTAATATAAATTGACCAACCGTAGAGCAAATTCGGTTAGTTCGTTAAAGTTGATTAAAGCCATTTAACCGGGACGGACACGAGGATACGAACGGCGCGAGCGTTCGTCGATCCCGAGGGCTCGTTTAAATGAAGTCAAATTGTTTAATATCGGAATAGATAAATCTGTGCGTCGTGTTCGGCGAAGTCAAGAGCAGCACAGCGGCAGCGGCAGGCAGGCCGCCGCAACGGAGTCGAGCGAGGTGGGCGCCGAGGTAGCGGGCCCGCACCCGCCCGCCACCGACGGCTTTATGTACGTGTGCGGAGACAGCGCCGGCGGGCCCGGCCCGCGGTACGAATGCGCCTTCGAGCCTGGAGGAGGCATGGAACAGCCAACTTTTGAGGAGCACATGTTCGGTGAGTTCGGCAAGGATCGCCACGTGCAAGTGGTCGTGGGTGAAGTCGGCGAGTTGCAGTACCGAGATGAGATGCCAGTGTTTGCTGGCGCGGACCACAAACGCAAAGAAGAACCGCTCCTACTGCAGACAGTGGAATCAGCGCCAGCCCCGCATCCACCGCCACCTCCGCCACCATCTACTACCAAGAAGAGTGAGAAAAAGAAAAATGATAATAATGGCATCAAGAAAAAAAAGACAAGGTAAGTCGCATATGTGTTAAGGTATTTTCCTATGAGTCACTTAAGTACATTGATTTGATGATTAATACTGGTTTCATTTCTAATATACTTTGCTGATCTTTGATTTACCTGTAATCACAACTTAATTATTGATAGTTTCTGTCTATTATCAGTCATTAAGATCTAATAAAATTTACTATCTGTTTAGATAAAATTTTATTTTATACAACAACAATTACTTTTCCAAAAGAAAGATCACCAAGGCTTAGAAGTGGTCCAAGGCGACCTGAACTTCCTTAAAAATCCTACGAAGGCCGTCGCTACTCGGTTTGAATTATTGTAGATTTAATCTACACATTGAAGAAATAAGTGTGATTTAGGAATAACATAGATAAATTAGGAGTATGTACGTAGTATGTAGGAGTATTAACGCACCTCAGGGTTTTTTCCTTCTGTGGAAGTCGTCTTAATCGAGAGAGAAGATAGATATATTCTACGCCTTAGCTACCACTACTTTTAAAGTTTTATAATAAATATTATAAATCCTGTTTCATCAAAGTACTTCGGAATAAAAAAAAAAAAATCCAACTCTTAAATTGAGGAAAACAATAAGAAGACCCACATTATCGAAAGTACTATTAGACAGAGTAGATATTCCGCATAGAGCAGGAGCTACGCAATGTCTTCGTAGCAGTATAATCCTAATATGTATTTTATCCAAATTAAAAATTATGCCACATTTTATTATTATTTTAAGTTATGTTACTTTTTTAAATATTTTTGATAGCCTTTTTAAGCTGTCAGTATGTAAACGAATAGTTGTTAAAAATAATTATTCCTTTATTCGCATATGGATTCAGAGAAGCCAATATTTTCAAAGGACGATCAGTGTATTTACTAAAAGTAGTAAGATTTGAGTGCATTAAATATAAACATTTGTATTCTGTTTGTGTTCCGGTAGATGGTTCCACATGTGTCGGCACGTGCCGATGTCACAGGTGGGCTCGTCACCCTCCCGGCTGCGTTATTCATACTGTATCATCGTAGAACAGCCCTAGTTTATTATTTGCATAACTAATACGATGATTTTTATATTGTGATAAAGAGCACCATATGGCTTGAAGCAGAGGTTAAGATATTTTCCATATTTGGATGAATTGTTTTAATTTATGTGATGCGATATAAATTTATAGTCATTATTTTACAAATAAATAATAAGCACAGTATCAAAAATATCAGAAGCTATCATCTTAAAATTCCATTTTATTTTTATTATCATGTTTATATTAGCTTCAAGTGTAACTAATTAACTGACCGACTATGTCAACCAAACCTAAAATTAATTTTAACATAAGTACACTAATTTCTTAGCGAAAAGCGATATGTAGTGTTTGGGTGACAGTACAATACAATACACAATACAATATTGGACTAAGTCTTGAAGCTTAGGTATCTGATGGAGGAGTAACGAGGATTGTCAGTAACTTAGTAATTTGTTTTTATGTTTGGCCTCATATAATTAGTTTTGACAAGTCCAACAGAGTATTTGGACTCGGTGACGACGTTGATGATAAACCAATGTGAAAATGAATTACGTTATGTAACTCATTTTCACATTTTAATTCGATTTGCCATTGGAGCAATTTTTATAAGTTTTACTAAACTATAGGAGTTTTAGAGTACCTATTTTCAAAGTTTACTTAGTCATAAGTTGTCAAAACATCTTTTTAAGTAGGTTTATAATTATATCGACGGCATAAAATAGGTTGTTTCATTTTCGATCTTATATTAAAAATATATTTATTCAAATTGATTTTTAAATTGTCTCGTCTTTTAGGGGATAAGTACCAACAAAGTACAGACAACCTGTGCTTACAATTCGCCAGCTGTCTTTTGAATCTATTGCAATTTAAATAGGTTCTCATTGCAGTACTTTAAAATACTAAATCGTAATTGGACAAAGGCTTGAAGCAAGGCAAGGTAGACTTTTGACACGGGACCAATAGCCTATTGCAATGTAGGTATACAGAAAAAGAGACACCAATGGAAAGATTAATAAAAATCAAATGAGAATCCATGGTATGTTAGATCTTTAAAAAAAACTGTTACATTAAATCCGTTAACATTTTTTTCAAATAGAGGTATAATTGTTCAAGTAATACAATCTATCAGATCAGATTAACTTCTAATTCTTAACGGCCTAACACCCCTATGTACCATAAGACATAAACCTCAGCGGGTGTACCCTTTTTTAATAGACTGTATCACTCGATGCCGGCGTCAAAGAATTGTACTCGACGACTCGAGTTGTACATATGTTCAGATTAATTACCCGTATGGCTGCGAGAGTCAATTGACTTATCTCACCATCTCTTGAATGGAGGGAGATGACGTTTAATGAATGTAGTTGCAACACCATCTCAGTGATCGTTATGTAGATAATATATCGCTTTAAATAATTATAGAGTTAGGACTTTAAATACTCGTATGGGCTAATATTTTTAAGGGGACAATATTTTGAAGTTACGTTGATGATACCGACTATTTTTTTTTAATTGTAAAACATTAAACGTATTGCTTGTGGTTCGTGCAAGCTTTTTTTTTTATGATATTTTTAAAAAAGACAATTCCCGCATTAGGAATATCTCCTGTGTCGCGGGGTTTACAAGCATACATGAAACGGATTCAAAGAACACCCAGACTCAGAACAACAATTTGTAGATCACAAAAAAGTGTCATCTCATGTGGGGTTTGAACCCACAACACTCGGCGTAGTAGGAAGCGGCGTGGCGACCGCTTAAACCACTACGCCATCCGTGCAGTCATCCGTGCAGCTGTTGATTAAGAAAGACCTTTAAATCCAATTACGTTTTGTTCTCAGTGGTACGATGTTTATTAGATGTTAATGTAATATAATTGCACAGTTCGCGTAGTTAGAGCGGTTTTCAAGATTTGAACTTCCCTCCCTCACTTCCAAAGCAAAAAAAACAATAACCTTATTGGTTACAATAAGGTACATATAATGTGTATAAATATGAATATATTTGAAACATGTTAATAAAGAGATGCATTCAGGTACAACAACTTAAAACATTGTGAGAGGACATGCAGACCCCTCCTGGAAAAATAATGCACGGTGTCGTAATTAACATCTAGTAAAATGTGGTGAAACAATTAATAATACAATGCCACTATAAGTTTAAAGTCAATTGGCAGGCAATTATAGGTACTCGGGCGCGACGGGGGTGAATTTCGTTTCACGCTCAATCAATTTCTGCGCGTGCGCAAGCCCGCAGCCATATTGCACGCGTCAGATGGTAGATGTGCCCCATTACGATAAGAATAAATTTAAGTATTTGTGAATTCATAATTTGGAATGCAATAACAATTATTATTACCTATATTATCTATAAATACCTATACGTACCCATAACATTTCTAAGACTAGGATTATTTTAATAGTTAGGTGCTCAGGCTGGCAATACTTGTCATTAGGTTAACCAAAGTTTTATAAATACATTATTTTATTTGCAGGACTACTTTCACGGCGTATCAACTGGAGGAGCTAGAGCGAGCATTCGAGCGTGCGCCTTACCCTGACGTTTTTGCAAGAGAAGAGTTGGCTCTTAAACTCAACTTGTCAGAATCACGAGTACAGGTTGGTTAACAACATAGTATTATATTACTTCCATTCAATCTTAAAACCGAAAGTTTTTTTATTAATTTGTCTATTTTTTTTCATCGAAGGTGTGGTTCCAAAATCGAAGAGCCAAATGGCGCAAACGTGAGCCTCCACGAAAGACAGGGTACATAGGTTCCAGTTCTCCAAGCTCTACGACGTTAGGCGGTGGGTTCTCCGGTATTGGCGGTAATTTACCAGCATTCCCTCAGAACGGTCTCCCTGCTCCAGCTGATTGGTCATATCAGCATTCTTATGAACTTTCCTCGCATCAACTTTTGTCGTCTAGCAGTGGTGGGTACCCGGGATTCAATACACAGCCAGCAGCATATTCATACACGACAGTGCTGAACGGACATGATGGCCAAATGTTTGCTCCCAGACACGCTTATGAATATGGGGAGGGCAGTCCACCGCCGTTAGGCGTTCGCGATTATCCAATGATGGCGGCGCACTCTCCACAAATGGAAGCACATACACATGAAGAGAAACTTGAGTATCGTACACATGATCATGAGGACAAGTATTCAGCGTGCGCACTTCAGGAGGAACCTCCTCGATATGCTCCTCCACCAGACGACTATGATAAGTGCGGGATGGTACCACACGATAAGCACTACGAGATGGACAGACACTCAGATCTCAGCCAACCAGTTGTGGTCAAGATGGAACCTAGCACCGGCCAAGCATACACCACACTGCCCCCTTTTTTGAACTGAAATACTCCTTTTCGAAATTACCCTAGTTTTAGTGCTGTAATCCAGAGTAATTTCGAAAGGGAGTATTAGAAAGTATGCGAAGAGAAAAGAGAATTTTTAGAGGGCAATGGGAGTTAGATGAACAGTTTTAGAAAATGTATGTTTAAAGAGGGTAGTAAGGGCCTGTTTGAGCTTCTGATATTAGTGGCGTATATCAACATGAATATTTCTGTAATGCATTTGTTTGTACAAATTTGTTCATAGGTCCTAAACTGAATTTATTTGTATAAAGTAAATGAATAAGAAATAAACAATGTGTAACAAATACAAAATTTAATAGGCTAACATACCTATCCTTTCTAATATATCTTAGTGTTAGGTGTAATTTTATATTTTTATAGATTAAATTATGTTGTTTTAAAAGTTTTTTGCAATACATGTAAATATTTACTTATTTAAAAATAGGTAATTATATGTTAAAGGCCGAATAGTAATGTACTATTATAGGTTTTGTGTAATTTATAAGTTTTGGAATATTATTTAGTGATTAGGTACGAATAGTTGACTACTCATTGAGTAACATAATCGTAGACTTCGCTTCTCGTGCATTCCTTGTGCCTTATCAGGATAGTGCCTGTTGATAGTTTTACTTAACGAAATGATGGGATGTTTCAATATTTTTTAAGGTTATTTAATCATAAACCGTTAGTATATTCTCCTTTAAAAAATCTAGTTCTCTTTAAGTATGCTGTTATTTCTATTTATCTGTTTGTCATTCTTTACCATTATAATTGTTGATAAAATAATTATTTCAACAGTGCTGAACAGAAGCAAAGATTCTTACTTTTTTGTTAAAAAGCTAACTAAGGTGGTCAAACTACTCTAAAGATATTTGCTAAACCAGGTGCAACAATCTTACGCTGAAGTTCCGGCAAAAATCATTTATTGCACAGCACCTGATAATACAGCAAGGGGAATGTTAGTGTAGCACTCTTCAAATACTCACAAACAGCTTGTAAAGCCAATTTCATTCATTTACTTGCTAATCCTTTGGAATTCAGAAAACACTACTTAACGAACATAGACGTATAATTTTATACGTCCATGTTAACGAAATATACAGATACCAAGATTCAGTCTGAGAAATTTGTGTTTTTATATTTCATAAAAGACTGTGACCAAAACCTAGGTCCACGTCATAATTTTGTAAATTTTTATAATGTGTATAGTATTTTGTTATAATTATGATATAGCTCTTTACTTATATGTAGACAATAATATTTATCACTTAAGTGTTTTATGATCATTTTTTTTGTCAGAAAATTAGAAAATGCTTTAATCTCTTTATATACAGATATGAAATTGTCTCTTGTCGAGTAGGTACTGAATTTTCACCATTACCCTAGACTATATATACGAGTATATATAGTATATTTCTTTCTTCTTTTTCTTAGTTTTTTGTAAATCGTAGTAAGTAGGTAGTTATTTTTTATTACATTTAGGCAGTCGGTACATTTATTGTAAATAAGTTTTTGAACGTGAACGTTTGTGCCAATAATAGGTATATAAGTAAATTGCATATTTGATACTAACATAGAGTTAAGGTGCCAAATTGAACGATAAAATACCTATTATATGCCTACCTACATTACCTAAATAAGTTAAATAGGATTTCAATTTTTGTTTGTATTTATTTCTGAAATGCGGTTAAGAATTGTCTAGGAAGTTGTCCTTCAACAATGACGACTAGTTTTCAGGGATTCGCGTCAAGTAACGATGTCGGTCGTAATTCAATAACGCGTCATAAGCCACCAAAGTTTATAGGTTAGTTTGTCGAAAAGGATTTTTTTTCTATAAGAGTTTTAATTTTTAGATAGTCTTTTATTATAAATAATAATATTCCACAATTCGTTTTAATGTCTATGAATTATCTAATTTGATGATTATATAGTTTTTAATTAGTTTTAAATATGTTTTTAGTTCTTGATCTCCATGTTTTCAATAGATGTATTTTTATGAAAGGGACCAAAGCTTATACCATAACAATATGCCTGCTAATAATGTATTGAGTTCATAATCTTTATATAGCAGGGTACATTAATAGTAAAATTAGTTACATTTATATTATATCTCGCTGCATGTGTATGCTTGTTTTAAATAACATTTTTATTAATTTAAAGAGCAATAAGCTTCATATTTTGTAAAATTAAAGGTTAAGAGGAGAAGAAATTATAATACAAATGTGCTTATTCATTTTTTATTTACAAAATTCCTTTTTTCTATCAGAGTCTTTCAAACAAGAAACAGATATATTGTTGTACAATAATATAGTCTTATAAGAATCAATCTTTCAAACAAGAAACAGATATATTGTTGTACAATAATATAGTCTTATAAGAATCAATCTTACACATTAATTAATCATCTATAACAACAAAAATAAATAACAGTTGTCAATTTAAACAATTAAGGATCAACTTTAATCGGATGCCTGTATGCGACTGTAATTTATACTTACAAAGCATACCTACTTACCTAAATGTAATTTTAGTGAGAGAGCTTCTCATTAGCGGCCACATTGAAAAGTGAGCTGTCTAATCTTCGACTTAACTCACCTTTTCTCGAGTAATAATAGTGTTTGCGAAGAGTAAAGGATTAATCATGATCATTGAAACCTAGCGACCGCCACCTGTAAGCCTTCCATTCACTCGCAAATGCGTCATTTCAACATACTGAAAACATTTTTCTATTCACCATTGCACTTTATAGTAATATCATTTCGAAGACAATGTGTCTACTTTATTCCCCTCTTGTTTCGTCCAGATACCATCACCACTAAAGTGGTACTTCTTCTCAATTTCATACAGCACAAGGCTCAGTATCTGGTCATCGGTTAGCGATGCACATCTCACATTGCTGTAATGTAGATCGTATGCGAAAGTTTCCTGTCTTCGCTTACCTTCGCGGAGATTTAGTAGCGCGTTTATGTAATGCTCCACTTCGGTCCTGAATGTTAACATTAACAATTAACTTCAAAAAAGTATCACCGACTTGAATACGCCTACATCACGATGTGATTTTATCGTATTGTGACCGAAGTTGAATTAGTATTCTGCCAGTCTTATTAATATTTCACTACGAGAATATCTTTTAATTCACGAATTACATAAAAGATTTTGAATTTTTTCTTCAAATTTGAAGTATTTATTGTACTTCAAATTTGACTTATGTTTAGGTATAGGTACTTCTCCAAATAAAGAATTATCCAAATCGTTTCATATGACGGAGTTTTGAGATACCAAACCACCGAATTGCGAATTTCTTCCTCTCTTTAAAGTCGATTAAAAATGAAGAGGTTTAAGAATTATGAGCTTTATGTTGAGTGTTTGATGGATTTGGAAACACAGATACATAAGATGTTACAGTAGATACAATTGTTTTGTATGAGTCATATTATAATTTATTTTACTATCAAACTACTACGTGAGTACGTGAACAAATATTTTACTTACACAGGGTACAATAATATGTGACAGTTATCTAAAATACTCTCGTCACGAAACTTCTGTCTCAGGAACTGTATGTTCTCATCAATAACATTAACGGCAACATGCAACCAGTATTTGTGTCTTCTCAATTTTTTTAACAATACATCTTTTAATTCCGTACACTTCGCATCCCTACTCAGGTTCGTTAGAGAAGACGTTATTAGAACGGCGATGTCTCTACTGCAAACTTTTGCACCGAAGCTGCTTATGTAACTGTAATTAAAAAGCAGAACAATTAAGACATGTTGTTTATCTTTTCATTATCTTTTTATAAGTAACTACACTTTGCAGAACCAGGGTTGCAAAATGCACCCCTTATAGCCCTGTCTATTTTATTTGATAGCAGAACACTGTAATTTATTAAAAGAATTCTTGAAATAATTATTGGGCCAGTTTGCAATGTTTATAGATTAAAATAGATGCAAAATCTCACGTGTTAAACACCTTGTTAGAGGACACAAGGTGATTTAAGCTGTAGCATTGTTTATTTGCAGTCTCTATTTTTTTAAGGCGAGCCATCATTTTATTTTTATGTATTACCATATAGAGAACCTGTAACCAAACATTAACATAATGTAATCATGATGTATTGAACAACTGTGTGATAACAAGACTGCATCAATTACAGATTACGAGTTGATAGAATAGATATCTCTATAAGCAGGTTAATATAATTTTTGAATAGATTTTACAATTACAGTTATTGTAGTTGTTCAGTAACTTAGAACATACAGTAAATCATAGAAAACCTTATACATCAATAGCCGTAGTTCTATCAATAGGGTTTTAGGCATTACTAAAGTGAGTCTGAAATAATTTTCTGAAATAATTGCCTAACATATCTGAAACTTAAAAGTTTAAAACAAATCAATCCCATTACTATTTATTTCTTGTTTGGAAAACCTCAACACGTGACAATTGACTTATTACTTACCCTTGGGTTTGTAGACAAGATTTGGAATTCCTTTGAGTTTTTGAATTCTTCAAGACGCTGTCGTATGGTATCTGGTCGCATGCAATACACCTTTAAGCATCGTCTTTGAGCCTCATGTGATATTCTATATTCCTGGTAATATTCAAATTAATCAATCAATTATAAGTGTAACTTAATGAAATGTGATATATTATAAATGACTCTTTATGAAACAATCATTTTATACTGACATGTTATTGATTAAGAGAAAATTCACCACTTACTTCGAGAATATCTCGAATTTGTAGAACAGAGTTGTAATTGTTTTTTAAAATTGCAGGTTCCATCTTTATAACCTCGCGAATGTCCATGCCAGCCAGAGTTTTAATATTTTCTAATAGTAGCTTGGTGTGTAAGGGGTCTGCACATATTATAAAGCCATTTCTTCTTACACCCGCAATATCAAACTTAATTTCATTTAGAGCTATATTGATTGCTTCTTGAATGTCAGACATTGGCTTGTGTTTAAGAGGAAGATAATTTTTACAGCACTTTTGGAATTCATTTGTAGATATAGATAATTTCCAGAATAAGTACCTTTCCAAAACACTTGTGCGCACCATTACTAAAAATTTTAGTAGTTTTAAATAAATATGTTTTCTTAACATTGATTCACAAGTTACATATGGTTATTTTATTTTATTCACACATATTGAGCGCATTACCATAGTCATTGAATTTAATTAAAAAAATAAACTATTTGAAACCTATTTTGAATAGATATCAAAAGTGACTATCAGATACTGGTAGTCTGTAAAAGTAGGAAAAAGAAAAACTTACTTACATATAGATGAACGAGAATCAGGAAAATTGTGCAAAATCTTATCGGAGTCTGGCCAGTCCTTAAGTTTGTCTAAAACATTTTGTTCTAAGATAACATCTTGAGAAAGAAACCCTTCTTTTTTTAGCTGAGCAATAGTGCGTGATCTAGCAAGAGTATGATACCTGAAACGTAAAATAGTTCATCAAAAATATGTAATACTTGACAGTAATTTTGTGCATTGGATTTTTACCAGAATAGAATAATCTTTATTATACACGAGTTCAGGACATTCTTCTTTTATATTAATGGTATAAGGGGACAAACGAGCAGACGGGTCACCTGATGGAAAGCAACTACCGCCACCCATGGACACCTGCAACTCAAAAGTCACAAGTGCGTTGCTGCTGTAATGTAATGCACATTACAGCAGCAACGCACTTGTGACTGGCCACATAAACGATCATCGTTTATGTGGCCTATATATGGATGCCTCTTCTTTAACATTATACATACATTAGTATTCCAAGTTAATGATCATGTACAAATGGCTGCCTTTTCTTTAAAAAGCAATCTCTTACAGGCAACCTTTGGATAGGCAAATAGACTGTAAATAGGTAATCTCATGTGCAGTTTTGGTGTGAAAAAATAGGGTGGAGGAATCAAAAAATATTTATACAGCACAACACCAAGCTAAAGTACTAACTTGATTATATGAGGTGGAGAAATGGTAACAAAACCACATTCTTTAAGTATTTCTCCATAGTTGTCCATTGTGATGGGGTTCATGCTGAACACATGGAGGTGTTGGCAAGCTTCTTCAGGAGTAATGCCAAATTTATGCAATATTTGTAATGTGCATTGCAAACGATCATCGTTTATGTGGCCTATATGTGGATGCCTCTTCTTTAAAATTTCGAAATATTGTTCCGATATAGTTTCACCTGTAAATTTAAAAAGCAAAAATTCAAGGTGAATCTGTGCCTTTGTACTTGAAGTGTGTAAAAAATTGATTTGGAAAATTAAATTATTATTTAAATTCAATTGAAATTAATTGGTATCAAAATATACTAAAACAGAACTGATTGTAACAATTGCAAGTCAGATATTTTTTATTTTATAAACCTTTACTTATTGCTATACCTATTTATTTAGAAATCTGTACCTGTGACTGTTTACAGTCACAACTGTGTTACCGGTCTTTGAGGTGGGAGTATACTCCTTTCTTAAAGGTCCGGGAATACCAGCTACAGTTTTATATTTATAAGCTGCATAAAAATTACCTGTTATTTTTTTATAGAATTCTAAAAAGGGAACACTGTGATATTTCTTGTAGGTTACTTTGAAGGAATAATACTGATTAATTAGGATATTATTAAACATTTTTAAAGTTTTTAAATGCGAACGCATAGTTAGAGTGGATAAGTCTTCCTTAATTAAGAAAAACAGTTAAGGCAAAATAGATACAATCTTCTCAAGGGAAACATAGATGTTTCCTGTAAGTGTAAACAAACCACAGAAGAAACTTCAAATCAAACTAAAATTATCAATGTCAAAGTAACAAACTTTGATAAGGTTCAAAAGTAAATGTACCAAATCGTTCAAAAATAATTTCACACTTTTTTGTAATTGAATTTTTTTACTTGGCATATGTACAAATAACGGCAAATATTTATATAATCAAAATTACATTCCTAGGTGTATATTTCAAGAGTGGAAATGGATATTCACAGAATATTTTGCACAGCGAGATGTGTCTTCTTTTTTTAAGAGATGTTTGTCAGTCACATTCAGACTATATCACTGCCGTCTGCTGTCAAAGTATCAACTGTCAAACAGCTAGTGTATACAAATCAAAATAATTAATTTATTAACAATATTAAAAATTGTAAGTAGAAATAATTTAAAACGTGATCTTGAATATTTAGTACTTCTTAAACGATTGATTTAAACAATTTATATTTTTAAACTCATTTCTAAATAGAGGCCTATGTCCAGTAGTGGACTGCTAAAGGTTGTTGATGATGATAGGTTTATTATTGATTACAGAACACTCACTCACTAATTTTGAGTAATAATTGCAGTTTTCATGTAGTAAATTGAATTTATATAATTTTATTTTTAACATGTCATTATTTAAAGCAAATTATTGTAGATGGACTGGACTGCTGTCAGAAATCATTTTAAGCAGACTTGGTTGACTACTATATTGAGTCTTATTTTGTTTTCTGGTGTTACTTACTTCCTGGTGTGGGCTGAGGTAAGCACTAATTTAAGAAAATCAGATCAAAATTTTCTAAAAACCACTTTAACAACAATAACAACAATTGCCATATCATCAGATTGAATCACTAATTTACTTTTAATTTTTTTTAGAGTCAAACTATTCAAAGCAACCTAATGCTAGAAGAACTGATATCAGCAGCAGAAAGTATTGATGTCCACACAGGCGATGAAGCAGCCCGCTATGAAGGGCGAGTGGTGCATATTGTAGGTCCATTAAGAGTTTTGGAACCAATATCTGAACCAGATTATAACATACAGGTCCAAGCAGTCAAATTGAGAAAAAGGGCACAAATGTATCAGTGGATTGAAGAAACTTCGTAAGTAACTGGTTTGAATCTATTGCATTTCCTGCAGATTGATTACTTAGGTATTAATAAAGGTTTTAAGCATAGACCATTTGAAATATTTGTATTACTTGACATAAATAAATGTTGATAGTGGTTAAGATATTAAATTTAAATAAATTACTAATGTTGCAATTATTTTTTTCCTTTTTTTCGAAGAAAAGGGCTTTATTATTATATTATTAATGTTGCTATTTTTGAACATGACATAACTTTGAATGTTAATGTACACCTGAGCAGAAGTCTAATAACTTACCACTTACCACTTATAGGGAACAAGAACACTTTTTAAGTGAACCGGCAGAAGAATCACGAAAAACATACTGGTACCACAAAGACTGGAGAGATTATGTAGTTGACTCCTCTCTGTTCTATATTAGACCTGGACATCAAAACCCAGCCTCTATGCCATTGTTCAGTGAAACACATATTGCTGAGAGTGTTAAAATTGGATGGTTATACTTAGGTAAGAGTTTCATAATCTATGATTTTACTGCAATATGCAGCTGTGTATCCACTTATATCAGTAGAATAACCCTTTTTAGCTAATATTCCATAGCAGGAGTTACACTCATACTTCTGGTGTATTCTAGTGAATAACAGCCTTATTATTTTGATAAGCCCTATGTGTCATTACTTCACTTCAATGCAAAGGGTTATGTTGTGTTAGAGAAAACAAAAACTACACGATTTTCAGTCAAGGTGTTCCATGCCAGGTACTCCACAGGGGTACCTTAAAAGGGAAAATTCTTTGAATGCTAATTCAATAACAGTGACCACACACTATCTTGTGAGGGTCTTTCAGCCGCCGATTTGCGTGCGGAACTCGTTGCTCCGCCGTTTTCGGCCCTACTTCATCTAGGATGACGGGCAATCTTGCCCTGCCCTCAGAAGTTAGTAACAGTGTCTATGCTTTTCTAAGTGTTTCTAAAATTGAAATGTAGTGTGATTAATTATCATTTTTTTAAATCAATGTATTTAATAATAATTTGCAGGCATAGATGTTAAACGGAAAGTGAATGATTATTATGAAATTTGGTCTGACTCCAGACCGGAACGCAATGACATCAAGTTACACTCTGGTTTCTATTATCACGGGGAGAGTGCGTTAGAACATGAAATTGGCGACATGCGCGTTCATTTTTCATATGCTGGTCGTGAGGACGATATCGTAAGTATCATTGCCTTAGAAAAATACAGTACCTGGATTACCGAGCTTTCCCGAGATTCAGGTTTTATATATATATATATATACAAGAATTGCTCGTTTAAAGGTATTAGATATATAGATACGCTTTACAACGTGGGGCATACTTAGTCTCTGATCTGGCCACTTACAATCAAAGAATGAAAAAGTAATTTAAAATGTTTCTTTCTGGGAACATGTTACTTTCTATTTGCGAGACTCATTTGTTTTTCATTGTGACGTCCTTTCGAAAATTGTGTATCGCTATCAAAAGGAATTTAACTCGTAAAGATTTTCGTTCAATGATTTTCTTGTGATTTGGAGAATCATCTCCATGACGAGGTACGTGAAGGTCGGCCGGCGACTGTGGTTACAGACTCTAATATTGACACCGTACGACAACTTATTGAAACAGACCAAAAAATTACTTGCCAACAAATTCGTGCTTTGTTAGGCATTAGAAGTGCAAAAAATTTTATATGTGCATCTGAAGGTTCGTAAAATTTGCACTCGATGGATACCGCATGACTTAACTTTTAAAGTAATTTAAGACTGGTCCAACTGCTTTGTACAGTGGTTTCCGCGAATACAAAAATGCATTAATTGCAAGGAAATGTAATTTGAAAAACAGTAAATGTATCGTAAGTCTTATATCTGCTAAGTCTTATTTACCAGAATCGAGAAACTTTCAGTATGCCCCAAGTACACACCAAACAGAGTATTGCATAATCTAAGAATATTTTATGAAATAGTACATTTGGTGGTCTTATCGCAGTTTGTGATCTCTTACAAAAGAAAATATTTTATTTCTGTTAGTTTTGTTATTTAAGGGCAATTTCATAACTATATAATATCCAAAAAAAAACAATATTGTTTGAAACTGAAATTCAGACGTTTTTTATTTGTTGTCCTTAAATTAATCGCATATCTTTTATTTGATTATTTACAGTATACAGCAGTAGGTGAGGTAGAAAGTGGTGTTCTACAAGCATACAGTGCTTCAAGATTTCCGACAGCTGATCCTATATGTCTCCTTCGAAAAGGATCGTATAGCTTAAAGCAACTACATGATCTAGAGAAACGGGATGCAAACCTACATACTTGGAAATACAGACTTTTGGGTTTTGTACAAGTGTTTGCATCAGCAATGACTTTACATCCCGACTGGGTGACACTATGTAAGTTAAAATATAATTGTTAAATATTTTACATGAACTAAGTCCACAATGACGTCTAACATAAAGCATTTATCATGTATATATTATCGTTAAATCACAATTGAAGTGATAACTAGTTTTCATTTGTAAATTTTCAGTCTTACAGTGCCAATGGATATCAAGTAATTTAAGGCGATGTACGAGATTTTGGATCAACTTAGTCTTATCATTTTCGTATACCCTATTCATAATATCGATACCCTGGTAAGTATTATTATTATGTCATAGGAAATGCAAAGATTTTGCGTTTTGAAGTTCCATGAAAGTAACTAAACTGTTTTTTTTTCGACAAGTATACACACTATGTTCTTCCTTCCTTCTACTTACTTATATACCTGTATATATATGTAGATATATGCATATAGAGGCAAGCCGAATTCATAAAGCAATGTTTATTGGAGAATGTAGGTAAACAGACATGACGTGTGGAATCTTCGCCACCTGTAAAAGTGAGGCAATTCTGCTGATATCACTTGCTGGTTGTCAAGTATTGCAATACAGTATAGAATTTTTGTTATTGAATGCTTTTATGCAAAATGACTCGAAATGTCGTACTTACGAAAAGCATAATATCTTTATGATAACTTGAATTTTTATCTCTTAGGACGTCGCGGCGCGCGGATGACCTATGACCCGTTACTGTCGCGCCCCTGAACTAGTGACCCAGTCACAGCTGAGCGTAGTCATTATTACCTCAATATCTACGTTATTTTATAATTATATTCAATGAAATAAACATATTTGGAATCAACATATTTGACATATTTGAAACTTAATAACAGAGACGCTACCGCGTAAAAATTTGGTGTCACAACTGTTGTGACGGCGACGCGTCGGAGGTTAAAGTCTATGAACATAGTAGTGCATTGAAACACGTACCACGAGCCTAATACCCTCTGTTGCGGTTAGTTATAAACGGCAATAGATTTAGCAGTGGAATATCAAAGGCTGTTGATGTGATAATAACAACAAATGTACGAAATCCTTTCTACTCCGCGACCGCACTATATTACAAATAATTACATAGTCATTCATTGTAGTATCTGGCTTAATTTTAGGATGGCCAATTAAAGTAAACTAATACTACCATTTAACGCGATATGTTGGAAAAGTGTATTTAGTGTATTAACCGACTACAACAAAAATATCCCTTTTTAAAGAAAAGTACTATAAATGCATTACGGGTGTATTTGCTACATGCTTATCATCTCGTTACAGGTTAGTACACAAACCGACATTTGGAGCGTTGGTGCTGGGCGGTGCGATGTTGCCGCTCCTGCATTACTCTACTGTAATGACCCGGCGGGACACAACCCCAGAGCCGCCGCCCTACAACAGATGGAATAACAACACACGCTGAAAGTACCCGCTATTAACATTGTTGAAGGTACAGAAAGAATATTGGCATGCCTTCAGATATCTGAGATGTTTGAAGAATTACTACCTTTTGTAAATAGGTTGGTCTTTTCAAATTGTTAAAATTGGGTCTTTTTAATCCTCATATAGTCCATTCGCGTTAAAATAATAGTGATGCATCGATCAAGCCCCGCACTCTGACCAATCAGGTTTCAAGCATTCGTACGAAACGAAGGGGCGAAGCTTCATCGATGCGTTACTATTTTCTTAACGCGAATCCACCGTGTAGTACAGTACGACAAAAAAGAGTAAAATAAATGAGGGCGCTACCTTCGCTCATTTGGCAACCGAGCTAGAACGACAACTTCATACTTCATTCATTCATACAACAACATCGAAATACTTCATTTACTGTTCATTACCTTATATTTTAATTTTTATTCCTTATCGATTTCTTAATTTGTTGCCACCTAATTGCCACCTGGTTGGCACCCTGCTGGCACCAATTAGTAGTGTTTAAGCATTTTATACAGTTCGTCAGAGTCTTTGCTGGGCATAAGGCACTTAAAAGCTTTTATTTGAGGGTGACGAATGCAATAGTGCTTACTTACCTATTTAGAATTGAAATGATGTACAGCATTGCATTTTGTTATAGACAGACTTAACGCTTACCATTTCATGGAATTCTTACGTTATTCGTCACCAAAGTATTAAAAAAATTGCCCACCATTTGGTTAAAAAGTGTGTAAAGAAAACGCTGGCTTCAAATGTAAAAATTATAACCAAAAGTAACACTAAAATATTAAAACATATATATTCAATGTCTTTAATTGACAGAGTGTGACGTTTGTGTCATCCACTTGCAGCGGCTCTGACTTTTTTTGTTGTGATTCGTTACTGGCCAATTGTTAGTACAACTTGCCGTATATACGAGTAATATAATATATTTTTTGCCGAATTACACATGTGTCAAAGTCATCTAACACCTTCAAAGGACGACCCAGCCTATGTTTGGCTAGTGTCGAGAATTTTCCACCATTTTTGACACCTTGCTCCACGCTTCTGAGCAATGTGCTTACTGAAACACCTAGAACAAACAAAACAGTATTAACCTCATAAGTTATACGTAAAAAGTTAAATAAAGCTCATATTCAACAGACTAGGAAGGTGCAACTACATATTTGGTCATAATTTTAAATCTACTGTTAGATCTGGCTGAAAGTCTTGCAGCAAATATATCCATAGATGAAAGTTTTCATTTATATTAAATGAACATCTGTGTTAATATTACTTTTATTATACCAGAAATATATTTTTAAAATAACAGTTTTACTTTTTCGTCAATTGACAGCCCATGTACTTCTTTTAAATGATGCAAGCTACTGTCAATACTTTAAGCTCCTAAATATTTAATTTCATGTCGTACTGTACTTAATATTTTTTAATTTCATAATTTACTAACTCATTAAGAAGTATAAAGTAGCTCACCATAAAAATATTTTTTACCTTTTACCTGATGTTTGTAGCGAGTTCTATCTGTGTTAGATATAGATTTCAACTTTGAACATATAATTATTTGTAATGCCAAATTATCAGTCACTACGTAGTAAGTATGAAACGAAACATACGCTCATTGTACCCGTAATAAAATACAAAATATTTTCATTTAATAGCATTTGTATATAGAAATGATGACGAAGACGAAGAGGAGACAGTACCGTTTTTTTCAAAGCCCAGGCATTATCAGGAGTTACCGATTTGAAAGCGTTGCAAAGATTTAATTGTACTAGAAATCTTGTTACTTGTAATATATTTAAAAGTTTCTTTGTAAAACTGCAATAAGTGATTAAGTAATGTAATTATAAATACCTAATAATACCATTTTATGTAACGCAATGCCTTACTAAAAACTTTAGAAATATGTAAGTGGCATGGCGTTTTTTAAGGTATCAATGGATGTAAAGAAATAAACCAAGCGTGAAGACCAACCGCCTTATGGCGCCCGAATGATTGGTCTAAAAAATCTAAAAAGTCTAACTCTGTAAAAGGATAACCTTTTACAGAGTAGACATTTTGATAATACACCAAAAAACAACAAATCTTAATTTTTAACTAGTTCGTCTTCCTGTATTTGTAAAATACACAAGATCCCTATTTGTCTAGTCAGTATTTTATAAATAAGATTAGGGTGGAGGAATATTATTAATAGAATATTAGTATCTTAAAAAGTGTTTAAATATTTATTTCATTTATTCAGAGAATTTTCAGAATCAATTTGGAGTCCTAGTTTCAAAGAAAACACCGTTATAAATGTACATCCGGGGATACGGATCATTAGTGTGTAGTTCCGCCAATACGGATACCGCTACGTACCTACTACACCTTTGCTTTGTTGTTACTTTTCTATCCCTTCAGATATCCACGAATACATTATTTTTAAAGTTTTACCTTCTCAGGTTAAAAAAAACAAACCGTGAGTACTTTCTGTGACGTGTGAGGGTACGAGAATATTACGTGATTTTCTATCAATATTTGAATTGAACATGGTAATTATGTTTAGTTTGAAAACTCACACCGTGCAAAACAAAAAAAATGGTGATCATGTAATATATTTGGCATAAGTAAATATTTATCTAATTGTATGTTAGTTTATATAAAACTGAAACAGGTATGATATTACTTATCAGAATACATAATTAGGTAGGTAGTCTAAGCTATAAATAAGGAAATATTTATAAAATTTAATTATATACCTATAGGTGCTGCTTTATGCAAAACCTAGTTTTATACAGTTTTGTAGTAAATAAAAGTAAACAAGAAGTAATAGTAGTAAGGAGAGTCTCATCGATTTCAGCTACTTTATGAGTAACATCCACTGTGTATTGTGTATGCAACAAAAGGGATGTCGAAACTAATCATTAATTTATCTTACGTCGTATCATACACACGAACGTAAGATAAATTATTATTATGCTTTCAAAACACGTGCTTTTTTTATTTAGTATAGTTTAGTATTATTTAGTAAAGTAATGCTTTAAATATAATTGGCTACAAAAGGCTTACTACTCACCATTATTGTTTGAGACAAACTAGATCTACTACGTCACTAACAGCTGTCAGTTGGTATCGTAGTAGGTATTATTTTCGTATAGATTCAGGTATAATACTCCACGGAGCACCGTTAGGTTATAATTATAATTATTAAATTATTGTATTATTAACTAGCTGAGACCCGCTGTGTTACCCGCGTTTGTTGTTATAACCGCGGGCAACGCCGCGGAGCGAAGCTAGTCTAAAAAAAGTAGCCTAAATTACTCCTTATGTCATCAGCTATCTGCCAGTGAAATCGGTCCAGCCGTTCCAGAGATTACCCGGAACAAACAAACAGACAAAATTTAAAAAAAAATGATATTTTGGCATATGTATCGTGTAAACATACATATGCATTTACTAAAAAGCGGTTATTTTAATATTACAAACAGACACTCCAATTTTATTTATTTGTATAGATAACAAGCATAACGCGCAAAAGATATGTCAACATACATTTAACTTATTACACTTATTATATAATATAATATAGCAATATATTGAATTGTCTGTGACCTAGTTATTAGAGGCAATGTGCGGTAAATTCAAGTGCCTATATGTATATGTATATATATACTATATTAAATAATAATAATGGAAATGGAATTAATCTTTGGATGTAATGGAGTCTTTAGGCAGTTAAGGCTCGGAAGCTAAAAGTCTAATTGCGGAGATTAGTCAGCGAGTTAGGGATAAAGGTGGTGATTCCCGCTCCGGCTCGTTCCTGGTGCAAAGGATGTCACCTTTCCACCGGGAGCACTGCGGGGCGTGTTATATGATTGGAATTAAATTGTATGTATTCATAATTAAATTTGTATTATTATATAAATAAATATTTTATTTCCATTTTAAATAAACACCAGTAAATATAATAAAATAATCTTAAGCATTAAAAATATAATGGTTTGTATATGTATAAGTGAAAGTAGTAAGCGGACATACGGTTATCGTATGTTATTATTGGTCATCATAACTACGCTTACCATGACCATGTATTTACTTAAAAAGAGAACAGCCATTGCACTGGCTACGGGACTTTTAGCTTGTATTATAGTATCTATCTATTTCATTGATCCATCGTCTGTACCGGGTTTCTCGTTTGATTGGACGCAAAACAAAATAGGATAAATTGGCAAAACTGTCTAATATTGAATTCTAAATAGGTCAAAAACTTTTCTAAATTAGTGTAATTATAGAAAAAACTTAAAAAATCATTATATGAAGCCGGTCCAATAACATTGAAAAATACAGATCACTGTATTTTGCATTTCTATTGGAACACCTTCATATACTTAGGATTAGAAATATGGTTTACTACATTAATAATATTTTTATAAGTATACTGATGGATTGGCTTATTTTTGCACAAAACGGTCCGTTTGTGATTGTTTTTATACATTGTAAAGTTTTATATTACTTAATACCTTGTCTACTGTAATTGATTTGCTGTGAAGTAAAATTTATCATGTAAGTAGGTCTGTACTTGTAGAGCCATGGGTAAATATTTATCTTAATTTGTATTCGCTTTCGATTAATAGGTTTTAGTAGGTACTGATAAATTACCATAATAATGTTGTTTAGATGTGACAATAATTTAGTTTGTCGATCGATCGATAGATGGCGTGTCACACTAATTCTGAATCGCGATATAGTTATGTTCACACGGCGACGTAAATAGACCAGAGATTTATTGTTAATTAAACCCTTCAAGGTACATGTATTGGTTCTATATTTGTGTAAATATATACAGTATAGTGCGATACGGTGGTTTTATTCGAATCACCCCAGTGACGCGACAGTGGTGTCATTAAGTGCGCCGTGCGTACATAGTGGTCCTTCGAGCCGGATATTGGAACCTGGCTGAAGAGGGCATTTTTAGCGGTGGACAACCGCTAGCGGCGGAGACGCGCACCT